AAAATGTCAGGTTTCTGTGATGTAAAAAAATGAGACAATGATAAAATAATTTCAGAACTTTTTCCACCTTTAATGTAACCTATAAACTGTACAACACAATTAAAAAACAAACTGAAGTCCTTTAAGTGGAGGGAAGTGAAAAAAAACCCTAAAATAATATGGTTGCATAAGTGTGCACACCCTTAAACTAATGCTTTGTTGAAGCACCTTTTAATTTTATTCTAGCACTATTTGGGTATGAGTCTATCAGCATGGAACATCTTGACTTGGCAATATTTGCCCACTCTTCCTTGCAAAAACACTCCAAATCTGTCAGATTGCGAGGACATCTCCTGTGCATAGTCATCTTCAGATCACCCCACAGAGTTTCAATCAGATTCAGGTCTGGGCTCTGGCTGAGCCATTCCAAAACTTTAATCTTGTTCTGGTGAAGCCATTCCTTTGTTGATTTGGATGTATGCTTTGGGTCGTCATGCTGAAAGATAAAGTTCCTCTTCATGTTCAGCTTTCTAGAAGAAGCCTGAAGGTTTTGTGCCAATATTGACTGGTATTTCGAACTGTTCATAATTCCCTCTACTTTGACTAAGGCCCCAGTTCCATCTGAAGAAAAACAGCAACAAAGCATGATGCTGCCACCACCATGCTTCACTGTGGGTATGGTGTTCTTTTGGTGATGTGCAGTGTTGTATTTGCACCAAACATATCTTTTGGAATTATGGCCAAAAGGTTCAGCCTTGGTTTCGTCAGACCAGAACACATTTTCCCACATGCTTTTTGGAGACATCAGATGTGTTTTTGCAAAATGTAGCAGGGCTTAGATGTTTTTCTTTGTAAGAAAAGGCTTCCGTCTTGCCACTCTACGCCATAGCCCAGACATATGAAGAATACGGGAGATTGTTGTCACATGTACCACAGAGCCAGTACTAGCCAGATATTCCTGCAGCTCCTTTAATGTTGCTGTAGGCCTCTTGGCAGCCTCCCAGACCAGTTTTCTTCTCGTCTTTTCATCACTTTTGGAGGGACGTCCAGTTCTTGGCAATGTCACTGTTGCGCCATATTTTCTCCACTTGATGATGACTGTCTTCACTGTGTTCCATGGTATATCTATTCCCTTGGACATTCTTTTGTGCCCTTCTCCTCACTGATACCTTTTAACAATGAGATCCCTCTGATGCTCTGGAAGCTCTCTGCGGACCATGGCTTTTGCTGTAGGATGTGACTAAGAAAATGTCAGGAGAGACCTACTAAAAAAGTTGAAATTTATTCGGGTTAATCAGAGGTACTTTAAATGATGGCAGGTGTGTACTGATTCCTATTTAGCATGATTTTGTGATTGCTTAATTCTGAACATAGCTACATCCCCAGTTATAACAGGGTGTGCATACTTATGCAACCACATTATTTTAGTTTTTTATGTTTACTCCCTCCCCCCCTAAAAGATTTCAGTTTGTTTTTTAATTGAGTTGTACAGTTTATAGGTCATATTAAAGGTGGAAAAAGTTCTGAAATTATTTATCTGTGTCTCATTGTTTTACATCACAGAAACCTGACATTTTAACAGTGGTGTGTAGACTTTTTGTATCCACTGTATATATATATATATATATTGTACATTCCCAACAGTCCCTGCTCTAAAGAGCTTACAATCTAAGGTCCCTAACTCATATTCCTACATACAAGGGTCAATTTTTGACAGGAGCCAATCAACCTACCAGAACGTCTTTGGAGTATGGAAGGAAACTGGAGTACCCGGAGGAAACCCACACAGACACAGGCAGAACATGCAAACTCTGTGCAGGTAGTGCCTTGGTTGGGATTCAAACCAAGGACCCTAGTGTTGCCAACCCAGAAGTGCTAATCACTTCTTCTGCCCCATCTTCTAACAGATTAAACTTTTCTTTAGGCGGGGGGGTTATTTCTCGGGGACCCCCCTGCACTTCCTTATTTCTTGCCTAGGTGAGAATTATGTGCCTGTAACGTTCTGGGATACCCACATCACGGGTCCAAAGAAGCCATGGAATACTCTACAGTGAATAGGTTGCGCAGCATCATCGAGGGGGGGGGGGGGGGGGGGGGGGGGGGGGGGAGTGTTTGTTTGTCTATTCATGTTTTTTACAGCCACACCCCTGATCACAGAAGATATTTGCATCAACACAGGGCTGCTGCACAACCTGGAACTGACAGCTGTCACCACCTGGTGACATCATAAGAAGATGCTGGGACTGGGCAGGTGTGCTGCGGCAAAGCATTGGATTCCTATGGAACATCAATGGATCACCAGGTGTATGAGTATGTTTTTTGTAAGAGGGGAGGAGAAAAAATGGGAGAGTGAAGTTCCTTAATTGAGATTTTTGAAAATACCCACATAAGATATTCCAGCAGATATTTGCTTTCATATTATACAAATGGTAATCATGGTTGTTAATGGTTAGCACTTTTCCTCTACAGCCCTGGAGTCCTGTGTTCAATTAGCAGCAAAGACACTATCTGCATGAAGGTTGTATATTTCCTCATACACTTTAATTTACTCTAACAACTTAAAACATACTGTAAGGTTAATTGGCTTCCACCTGAATCAGCTCTGCCATGTTTCTGCATGAATGCATTAAGCTGGACATACATGCATAGAATTTCAGCTGATTCCCAAGAATCAACTAAAATTTGTTCTGTGGGTAGCCCTGTCAGCAACACTCAGATCGACAAAAGTCGTTTTTTTAAATTGCCATTTTTAGAAAGAGCAGGGCAGGTAATTCACAGCTGAACAGTGCCTGCATCCAATACAATAGCCCACAGTTGGAGATTCATCCATTCGCACTGTTTAGCAGGAGATTCATCTATCTGTGGTTTAGCAGGAGATTCATTCATCCATGCAGCTTAGCGTGGATGGAGGAATCTATCACAGTTCTTTTGTTCAGTCTGGGTGTATGGCCAGGCTTAGGCTAAATTTGCACTAGCCTTTGGTGTTTAGATTACTGTAATTAAAATGATTTCAATTTTGAAACTATCTGGGAGGTAAATTCTACTGAATATAAATGTACTTGTGTTTACATGCGTTCATACATGCTTACAGTATCTAATCTACTTCTGGACACAGCAAAAGTGATTTCACTTGAACACATCTAACCAGCAGTAAAAACCTGACAGGTGTTCTAGTCCCTCTCCACTCTATCCAAAACTAAAAAAAAAATTCCTTTACATAGACCTCATCTACACAGAATGTCAAAACCGCAGCTTTTACAGGCATTTGACATGTTTTTTCTGTCTCTAAATGCCCCTCTATTTTAGCCCATGTGTCCATGCAGGTGTTTAGAGGCAGGACTGTTTGAAGGCAGAAAAAGAAACACACAACCAGTGCATTCAGGAGAGGAGCCTTTGGGCAGAAAAAAAGCCAAACACGCATTAACACTATTGCATTTAGATGCGGTTCCGCATTAATGCATTCTGAAAGCCAGAATAAATTAATATTCTGGCCAAGAGAATGCATTAATACCAAACACGTGAGTGCGCATAAAACGCGCATGCAAAACGTTTTAGTTGTGTTTTTGTAGCTGTGTTTTCCTCCCCTACAGCAAAGGCATCCAGGGGAGGAAAAAAAAACATCCAGTGTTTAATACTGCTCTAGGTGGGTCTAGATATACTCCAACAAAATGGAGGACGGCACAATGTCGCATAGATTGAATAACTTTTGAGTCTATGAGTGCAGTGCAGTGCTGCTAAGTCTAGTGTTATGTCTATGGTTAGCCTGAAACATGTTAGTGCTTTTACAGATCCTTCATGTACCCTATTTGAACCACATATTAAAAGTTATACAACTTATACTGGATTGTGCCATCATCCATTTTTTGTTGCATTAAGATCTTATATTTTTTCATCCTACATTTAAAGGCTAAGATGGGCAGCACAGTGATTAAGTGGTTAGCACTTCCACCTGGCAGCACTAGGGTCAATAACGGTTTGAATTCCAAATATGGCACTACCTACACAGAGTTTGCATATTCTCCCTGTGCCTGTGTGGGTTTCCTCCCACACTCCAAAGACATGCTGGTAGGTTAATTGGCTCCTGTCTAAATTGGCCCTGATATATGTATGTAGGAATATCAGATCTTAAATTGTAAGCTCCTTGAGAGCAGGGACTGATGTACATGTACAATGCATATGTAAAGCTCTGTGTAAATTGACTCCGCTATATAAGTATCTGTCATAAATAAGACGCTTAGGAGCTGCATTATGGATGATAGGGTTAAATATACATATTTAGTGTTGGCCTACACATTGATTGTATGATATCTATATTTTCTATACTGATACTGCATATATACACTATATTGCCAAAAGTATTGGGACGCCTGCCGTTACACACACATGAAATTTAATGGCATCCCAGTCTTAGTTCATAGGGTTCAATATTGAGTTGGCCCACCCTTTGCAGCTATAACAGCTTCAACTCTTGTGGGAAGGCTGTCCACAAGGTTTAGGAGTGTGTCTATGGGAATGTTTGGCCATTCTTCCAGAAGCGCATTTGTGAGGTCAGGCACTGATCTCGGACGACAAGGCCTGACTTGGAGTCTACGCTCTAATTCATCCCAAAGGTGTTCTGTTGGGTTGAGGTCAGGACTCTGTGCAGGCCAGTCAAATGTTCTTCCACCCCAAACTTGCTCATCCATGTCTTTATGGACCTTGCTTTCCACACTGGTGTGCAGTCATGTTGGGACAAGAAGGGGCCACCCCAAACTGTTCCCACAAAGTTGGGAGCAGTAAATTGTCCAAAATGTGTTGGTATCCTGACGCCTTAAGGGTTCCCTTCACTGGAACTAAGAGGCCAAGCCCAACCCCTGAAAAGCAACCCCACACCATAATCCCCCCTCCACCAAACTTTACACTTGGCACAATGCAGTCAGGCAAGTACCGTTCTCCTGGCAACTGCCAAACCCAGACACATCCATCGGATTGCCAGACAGAGAAGCGTGATTCTTCACTCCTGAGAACACATCTCCACTGCTCTAGAGTCCAGTGTCACTGTGCTTTATACCACTGTATCCGACACTTTGAATTGCACTTAGTGATGTAAGGCTTGGATGCAGCTGCTTGGCCATGGAAACCCATTCTCTCTATGCACTGTTTTTGTGCTAATCTGAAGGACACACCAAGTTAGCTATTGACTCTGCAGACAGTTGGCGACACTGTGCACTTCAGCATGCGCTGACCCCACTCTGTCATTTTACATGGCCTACCACTCTGTGGCTGAGTTGCTGTTGTTCCCAGTTGCTTCCACTTTGTTATAATACCACTAACAGGTGACCATGGAATATTTAGTAGCCAGGAAATTTCACAGATGGACTTATTGCACAGGTGACAACCTATCACAGTACCACACTTGAATTCACTGAGCTCCTGACATCGACCCATTCTTTCACAAATGTTTGTAGAAGCAGTCTGCATACCTAGCTGCTTGATTTTATACACCTGTGGCCATGGAGGTGATTGGAACACCCGAATCCAATTATTCCAATGTATCTACAATACACGGAACGTTTTGAGCTACAATTGCACTACAAGTCTGCGCTAATCCTGAAGAAGCAGCACTGCTGTGAAATATGTCAGATTTTGAAGGTTAAGGGTCTCCTGATTGATGTATGTTTGTCCCAAACATGTTTGAATCTTACTGTTGACTAACTCACTACCTCTTCTGGAAGTTTGTTCCACGTATCTTTCGATAAAATACTTTCCAAGATTAGTTTTGAACTTACTTCCTGCAAGGTTGAGGTCATGTTCCTGTGTTCTTGATCTTTAGCTTCATATTGAAAATACTGCCCTCCTGAACCTTATGCATACCCTTGGATATAGATTCTGGCATTGCTTCACATAAAATAGATAGAAAACTTCTTTTCTTATCATAAATACAGCAGCTACCATTCACCCAACTTACATTCTTATATAAACATTTACTAAGCAGAAATAGAGATATGCTTGAATTTATAGCCATGAGTGCCTATATCTCACAAATGTCATGAAGTTTAGCTTTATTCTTTCAATACAAATTCTTAAAATCTAATTTGTCACATGTAGATCTGTGTCATAGTGCTGCAAAGTAGGCTGACACTGTGTACAAAATAGATTTCATTTTTAATTCTTGCTGTCACTGCAGAGTAATTAGCAGTGGAAAGTGTTGGCATTTCAAAGTAAATCTCTGAACCTTTTGCAGAAAGCAACATAGAACTCAGACAGACATTGTGCTAAGCGTCAACGCTATACATAATGTCCATGTGAAATTAAAAATAGGCTGTAACTTCAATCTAGACAGACCTACTACCTACAAAACTATAGTAAACAGTGGAATCCAGTAAATCCAAGTTCTGTTACTTTGTTAAGAGATTCTTGAACAACCTAAATCAGGGGTCTCCAAACATTTCAGTATGAAGGCCACAGTGTGGATTTTACAAATATCTGTGGGCTGAAAAAAAATCCTTTTTTAAAAGAGTCCCCCTTATATTGTTTATTACAGGCACTTATATAGCGCTGTCAATTTACACAACACTTTATATATATTGTCCATTCACATCAGTCCCTAACCCACACAGAGCTTACAATCTAATGTCCCTAACTTACATTCATACATACACATACTAGGGCCAATTTAGACAGGATCCAATTAACCTATCAGCATGTCTTTGGAGTGTGGGAGGAAACCGGATTACCCGGAGGAAACCCACACAGGCAAAATATGCAAACTCCATGTAGGAAGCACCATGGTTGGGATTTGAACCTACGATTTTAGTGCTGCTAGGCAGAAGTCCTGATCACTTAACCACTGTGCTTACATTCAGGAATGCCCATTAGAGTACCCCCCCCCCCCCACAACCAGGAGTGCCCATTAGCGCCCCCCCCCTTACATCCAGAAATGCCCATCAGTGTTTCCCCTATTATCCAGAAGAGCCCATCAGAGTCCCCCCTTATATTCAGGTGTGCCAGGTCGCCTCTTAAATCCAGGAGTGCCCATCAGACTCCCCTTTTACATCCAAGAGTGCCCATCATGAGGACTGAGGAGGATCATGCCCGGTTGGCTGGTGAGTGCGCCATTCTCATTATTATGATACACAGACCCCTGCCAGCCATCCGGGGTATTTTCACAGGCACTTGCTGCTAGTCAGATAAAGTCTTGTAGTGGTCAGTTGTGGCCCATGGGCTGTAGTGAGACCAGGGGATTTTTTTGTGATTCAGCACTGTGCTACTTTAACTGACAATTGCTCGGACATGCAACACTGCACCCAAATGACATTTATATAATTTTTTCATACAAATACAGCTGTCTTTTGGTGGTATTTGAACACCACTGTGTTTTTTATTTTTAAATATATAAAAGAAAAAAAGACTGAAAAAACAATAATATTTTCTACTTTCTATTTTAAAACATCCAATAAAAAAAAATAACATTTCTTCATAAATTTAGGCCAAAATGTATTCTGCTACATGCCTTTGGTAAAAACAAAAATCCCATTAAGTGTATATTAATTGGTTTGTGTGAACGTTATAGTGTCTACAAACTATAAAAAAAGATTTCTCCCCTAAAATACACGAGGACTTCTAAGGCAACACAAGCAATAGTAAAATATCATTTTATTACAAATGGTTTAAAAATTACTCCATCACAAAAGGTGCATGCAACTAAAAAAACATATATATGGTGCCTGAATGAATAATACAGTCTTGATGTAAATATGGGTCCTCCTTCTTCAGCTGTTTGAAGTGAAAGGTGGAGTATTTCTTCAGCTGAAATACCCAACACCTTTCAGAACAACATCATCCTTTCATCAGGGGTAAACTGTAGAAAAAGGATGTCTGAGTTGGGCTCTATGGAATGCGATAGATAGCAATAAGAATTCATACAATAACATAAGTTGCCTACAAATTAAGTTGCCTATACTGTAATTTACGCAGCTATAGTCGCTATACTGGTAACGGTAGCGACCAGTGACTTATAATGAGACTGTGATAGTGTGGAGAACAATCTGGTGCTAACAGACACTGGCATTGCTAGTGACACTAACACAGTGATCAGATATGATACTGTACACTGTATTCATGATAGTGGTATCAAGGGGCAATCAAGGGGTTAACTGTGTGCCTACCACATGTAATGTGTGCAATCTCTGCTTATTTTACTCATAGATCTGGCTGGTTTTTTCTCCCTGCTTTTCAGGGAGAAGAAACAGCCAGGTCGCTATTTTCGTAGCACAGAGTGCTTTGTGTTTGTAAACAAGGAACTATGTGCTGTGATTGGACACAGTCGATCAGCTGGTTTCAGCCACAATCCTTGGCTGAAACCTGCTGACAAACTTGTGCTGTGTCCAATCATAGCACAGGTCAGCAGGGGGAGCGCATGTGCACCCCAAACAAGGCAGAACCTCCATTTAGGTTGCAGAGCCTGCATTTGCCACCCACACTCAGTACATTTACAAGTGGTTAATATGATAATGTGTGCCATGAACAAAAATGAAATGCTACTTTACCTATGTTCACTATGGAATATTCTGGGTTCCGTCTCTATGAGATCCCAGTCTCCTGTCTGCTCTCAGAAAGCCCAGGAAAACGTAACATTTGGGAGATGTGGAAATTAGTTGGTGCTGGCATTCAAGTAAAATCGCCTTGACAGGGATGAAATTCGCAGGAATACAGTCAGATGCCAATTTTCCTCACTTACCAAGAAACATGTCACCTGTGTCCCTGCATCCAGAACTGTGCCTGACAGACAGACTCTGAGGACAGATGCTTACCACTTACCTGTAATTACATTTAGTAGCAAAGCGGGAATAAGGAGCACATAGCATGCAGGAAGGGGAAGGAGCGAAAAGCATTCTATTAGCAAAGCTGTCACAGGTGCACAATTAAATGGTGGTATTGTGTGTATTAAATACGCATCCCACATATTATACGTAGTAACTAATGGAATCATTGTGACATGCTGAATTGATTGTTGCCTTTATATCACAAAGCAAAAATTATTCTCAGGTGGTTCCCTCTATAGGCAACATGAGACCAGACTCTTACCTTGCCCCATGGACTCCGATCGTCTCTTGTATGAACACTGAGGAAGCACAAAGAAAAATTCTAATCCCTGTGTGCATTCCTGTTTTGCTTCTCCTGTGTTCTTTTCTTTTCTATTTTCATCAGTAGATTTGATGAATGTCGTTCAAAAGCACTTCAAAAAAAGATTTGCTTTTAACCTCTGATTTTGGAGTAAGTGGACTTTCTTTAACAAAAACTACATGCACTGTTAGAAATTCACTTGTTCAAGAAAAACTTTCCAACCTGCTCCTTTGCATTTTCCCATCACAAACATTTTTGAATGAAACTCTTGGCCAAATAAAACATGACTTGGGTAACAAAACCAGTTTAGGTTTATTACCAATTCGGGAATACCTTTGCTAGGCAGAAACTGTGAGAGTACTTAAACTAATACTAACTGATACTAACTACTGGGCTACTCCATACTACGTCACGCATTTTGCAGCTCATTCACAAAATGCAGGGCACAGTGTGAAGCCAACATTACATCACAGCATTCTTGCTGTGTAATGCAACAGAGTGGGTCTCCGTGTTTGAACTGATAGGTCATCTCACTGATCTCTCAATATGCTTGATAAATGTGCTAGTTAAATGGACCTTGGAGGAGCCTGCGTACTGACGTCACATCCTCATGAAGGTCTGGTGGCCATCTTTGTGAGTGGTTTTCCTGTTTTTTGTTCCACGTGGATAATAATATTCATTTCAATAAATAATGCTGCACCAAAAGTGTTCTTCTCTTTGGCCTTGTTTTTGTGTTCCCTTCAAGATTGGGCTGATTTTGTTGCTGATGGTGGAACGGTCTGCTGGAGGTATCCCCTAACTCTGATATATGCCAGTGGTACTTTCCCATACTCTGTGTATAACGGTGGATGAGGCTGACCTGTGGAGGAGCTAGTGACCACTGAAAATATAATGCGCATTTAATATGCACTTCTGGTGAGTGCATTCAAAACAAGAATTTATCGTGGATTCACTCATCACTTGATATCACAAATTTTTTGGACTACTTATTTGGAATATTGAATCATTGATTATTTGCTTTATTAATTATACTTGTTGCTTTGTTCACTATTGTAACGATACAGTTGCTTTGGTCACCATTTTTCTACTATTCAGCGCAGCACAGTTTTCCATTTGTTCACTATAGCGCTTTTTAAGAGCGCTTCACCTGTATTATTTTTTGTACATATTCACTATTGTCACTATTATTTCAATCAATGTATGATGCTAAAGCATTGAGATATTATAATCATTTTTATTATTAGCACTGCACTTTTTGCATTTTATTATTTTGAGGATATAGCGGGTTGTCCTTTTGTGCTAGCTGCTGTTTTTTCCCATGTGCTCACTATCACCTTAATATTTTCCTATTTAAA